ACGGTCGGATCTCTGTCTTTTTCGAGGTTAAACGAGGAATTCGTCAGGGATGTCCCCTGTCAGCTCTCTTGTTATTAATCGTTCCCGAAGTTTTATCTCAGATTGTTAAAGGAATTATAGTGAAAAATGGGAAAATATAACAGGAAATAAAGATTAGCCAGTTGGTGGATGATACCCAAATTCACATAAGAACAGATAAATCTTTAACGAGGCTGCTTAAAGCGCGGTGGTCGTCGCGCAGTGCGTGTTCGAATTTCATGTAAACAAACAATGTATTTTACACGCGTTGTATACGTCGCTATGAGTCCCATATCGAACAGTACGCGGCACGACGACTGCCGCCCTTTGGCAAATATGCTGGGTTAAAATTGAATAAACACAAAACGGAGGGACTCAAGATCGGTAAGTGGAAAAAGAGGAGGGACTTGGGTATTATATCCTGGCCAAATTCGCCAATAAAAGCACTTGGCATATATTTCGGCCATGATAAAAAGGAAACAAACACACTAAATTGGGGTGGCAAACTAGAAAAAAATCGAAACTGTACTCCAAAACTGAAAAACAAATTTTTAAAAGTTTTTGGAAGAATAACTGTTCTAAACACATTAATAATCTCTTTAATTTCATACACAGCATTTATGATTGTTATTCCCAGACATGTCATAGCCAAAGTTAAAAAAAAAATGGCTTACGATTTTTTGTGAGTGGAAAAAGAGTGAAAGTCAATCGTGGAATTGTGATTAATAAGATAGAGAATGGGGGCTACAAATGATTGATATTGAAGCAAAGATAAAATCATTGCAATGTACGGTACATGGGTTCAGAGAATAATTGCAGGAAAAGGTTCTGCCTGGACTACAATTATTGAGCTTTTTTTTCAGTGAGTTTGGGGGAGTGATATCATCTTCAACTTAAATATAAATAGTGTAATGTTAAGTAGAATAATTAAGTTTTTACCAGATTTCTATAAGAATGTACTTAATAGCTGGTATGAATATAAACTACTGTACATGTTGAAAGTATGAAACCGGCTCCATTAAATGAACAACTAATTTGGGGGGATTACCAGATAACAGACAATGGAGGGGTTTATATTACAAGGAATGGTTTGAGGTTGGTTTCATAAGTATAGCTGATTTATTCCCAAAAGGCAAGTTTTTAGATCAAAACTACCTTTGTGGATTACACAGTATTTGTCATTAAAGAGGGCAATACCTAGACATTGGCATGATATAATGAAAAACATGAGCGATTTTAATGCTGAAACTGATATTTTTTGGGGCCAAAGCCATGTAAAGAGTATTATTGGTGCTTTACTTTAAAATATATGGAAACATCATATGCCCCGTTAATTTGGAATAAATTAAAGGTTGTTGAAAATTGGAATGAAATTTAGAATATCAAAATTAAGAAAATGCCATGCAAAAAGATCGCCCAATTTAACTACATGTTACTGTACGACATGATTCCACATGCGTACAATCTTTGTAAATGGAAGATTTCTAGTACATCACTGTGTGATACCTGTGAAGTCACGGATGAAAGCCAGCACTATATATTTGAATGCTCTTGTGCACAGATATTGAAGCAGCGAGGGGGCTTTGAATTTTGCTTGAACCAGAACATTCAATTCATTAGAATTCTCATTTTAGTGTAGACACTGTTGGTTCAGAATCAGAAACACTAAATCTTATAATGTCTGTAGCGGCCTTTGCTGTCTATAAGTCAAAAATTATTAATCAGAAAAATATGAAGAATATTTTAGTAAACGAAATATGGCATTTTATTTGGTGTAGGCACTGTTGGTTTAGAATCAGAAACACTGAATCTAATAATTTCTGTAGCGGCCTTTGCTAAAAGTAAAAAATTATCAATCAGAAAAATATAAAGAATATTTTAGTAAAAGAATTATGGCATATCAATTATAGAAAAAAATTATTCAAGAGTTTCTTCGTGTCATATAACATTAATATTAATTTCATTATTAATAGTATTGCACTTGGTTGATGGTTGACAGGCGGTGAAAATGGACGGAGCGAATAATTTTGAGTTCCGTCTAACCTGTGCTCATATACCCCTCTGTAAAAAGATAGATTACATATGGTGCCTGCAACAATAAACATCTTTAATTTAGTGGAAGCTAAAATAACGTTTGATATTACTTGTTAAAATTATCGAACGGAATTATTTGTCTACGCACATTCCTACTCGGCTACGTGCCCATGCATATCAGTAGCTCTCACCCCCTCGATAAATGGTTGTGCCTTACAATGATGTAGGTCAGCACAAGAGGGCGCCCTGCACAACAGCAAAGATGGCCGCTTTCATTGCTTTCAGCTGACCGGAAAATAATAATCTACTGTGTTGTTAGCTTATCACCGATTTGGACCTGCTGTGTAAGCCATTTGGAAAATTTCAGTAAGTATTGTATTTCATAGTTGCAATTCCTAGGTAGTTTGAGGTTCTAGTTGTCGAATATATTCATAATCATTATCGCTGTACAGTATCGCTTGGCCGAGTTCTTTTAGTTTTCTGTTTCCTCTAGGGTCATTCCAGTTTGTATCCGCACCCCCATATGGATGGTATAATTCTGGAAGGTATAAAATAATGTACTTTTTCTGTTCCAGGAGGAGAGGTCCCCGTAAATGAATTCCACAGGGTGGTGATTTTACTATGGGCTTCCGAAGAGTTGGGTTATTGCAGGTTGTATCTGCAATTTTTTTTTTAGGTTCCGAGGCTCCCTTAGGGGTCACTGTTTTAGATTCATTCAGTTATATGTTAAATGCGAGGTGTAAATTTTGTACTGTTAATTCTGTGGGGTACATTTGGGGGAATGATCATCCAGGGGGGTATTAGCAAAAAATGTTTTCCGGGGTGCTGAAACACCGTTGTATAGTATATTTTATTCGACACAAAATAATGCATGGAAAATACATCATCTATGGCCAATAGGTTGTATATTTCCAGGGAGGAGTTATCAAAAACTAATCTGAGGGGTACATTTTTTACTATAACCATCCATGTAGGGGGTGTGGATACAAACTGGAATGACCCCTATTTTTGCATGTTGTGTCCTATTTATTTTCACATGTATGGCAACAAATCCACGATATTTTTAATATATCAGGTAACCCATGATTAAAACAAAGTTTGCTGTTTTTTTGTCCCAAATGCGCATGGACCTTATTGTGCATCTTTGTCTTGTCTAAAAAATGCTGCGATGTTTTACTTAAGAAAAAACTACAGACTTTACGTAAACTATAAATCTAAATATTCAAGAATGTTGGTCGTTATGCCATGTCCTGTTTGATATGGAACTTGTGGTGTCATATACATTTACAACACGTGTAAAATACATTGTTGCTTTCGCGAACTTTGTTCAAGTCTCATACCACTAATTGAAACTCAACAGAGTTGAAAACATGACTCAAAAATGGGAAATCAACATGCCAATTATCAATAACATGAAAAAAACTAACATGTTGGCCAGATGAAACTCTTGCAAATCTCAAGTAAACAAGACACACCTACTGTATTTGGATTGCATGTAGAGAAATCACTGGAAAAACATTAGAACATCCAAATACACACAGAATAAACCCACAGGTACACAACCGCTAAGTAGTAAACAAAAGACCACATGTTAGTCTCACCTTTGATCCAGGGAGCACCTGAGACAAAAAATTAAAAAAAAAAATTAATTGGTTCTTGCAAAGCATTTAAATTGACAAATGGTCATTAGTGGCATGAGACCTAATAATTAAAGTTTAATAAAGTTCTTGTTGATCTTGTATATGATGCAATATCATTAGACGAGTAATTTCCCATGCAAAAAAAATCCCCAAATTTAAACCCTGGAAGTTATTTATCAAAATCTACCACTTGGTGGCACCCTCTACCCAGACAATCAGTTGTAGAAATTGGCAACATACACACTCAGCATAACACCAAATTAGATGGTAGGCAATGAATATAAGCCTGATTATTAGATGCAGTACTATAAAGTATAATGTCCTCATTCACCACAAACAAGTACAGACCAACGTTTGGCATGATTAGTAATTTTAATTAATTTCTAGAAATAATACATAGAATAATGACAATTAAAAGTAGTTTATCACTATAATTATGAAAAAAAAAATTCTATTGAAACAAAAGTCCCAATTCATGAGCTCATTGTTTCTCCAATTAATTTAAAAAAAAAACAATTCCACGGTATCTGCATTTAGGCCGGAGACCTGTGACGGGCAACCTTGGATATACCAGAACACAACAGTGGTTTGATTTACCATGGCCACACATAGAATTTGCTCTACATAAAAAGCTTAATCGAAACTTATGTGAAAAAAAGTAGTTCAATGAAAAAATTTTATGATTTAGAAAAAAATAAAAATATACCAACCAGAAAAGGGTCTAGAAATAAAATACTCATATTACACATAAATAAACAGCATTTCTGATTAATTTATAGCTCTACTTGTATTGATCTGATGGTACATTAAACGTACATGATATTTGTGTGATATTGTTGACACAGTAGAGCTATGGAGATAGCCATAGAGTACCGTCCATGTTGATGCCGCAATAAAACCATTGCGCAAATAAATGATTAAAAATCATGCAATACCCTGTGAAACAAGACTCCCAACAAAGGTGGATAGATTGTACATTTATTAAATACTCACCGAAGTAACTATTGAAATTTAATTATTATTATTTAATTATTTTTTTCAGGCAGTGTCTGAGCTATTACAGAATAAAGTTCCATGGACAGAAAGTTATCATTAAAGTATAAAATTCTGAGGTCAGAACATCAGCGTGTGATAAAACAATGTTTTGAGGCCAGAGCAGCAACGCATGAGAGAATAATCTTTTGAGGCCAGAGTGGCAATGTGTGAGAAAGCAATGTTTTGTGGTGAGAACATCACCATGTGAGCGAATTCTACTAATGGATTAAAGATCATACAAGAAACCACGCCTGAAAAATGCAAACACGAACAATGAAGTACCACTGCAGTTGTGGGAAGAGTTTTAACAACTTGGAATATCTTGAGCTGCACATGAAAACCCACACTGGTGAAGGGCTTTTCTCCTGCCAGCAATGTGGTAAAGTTTTTACCTGCAGAGAGGGACTAGACATGCACATATGTAGGAGCGTCCCGATGTTACTTCCGTCGGCAAAGTACGGGACAATTCATGTGATGAGTCCGTCAAGACTAGACAATGATGTTGACGATGACGATAATGATTATTATGACAGTTTTCTTCGAGCACAGATAAAAGTAAAACGGCGAGCTTATCAATGCGAGTTCTGCGAGGATGAGTTTGAAACTGAGAACTATTTAGATCTGCATCTGAGAACTCACACTGGGGAAGGGATATTCCCGTGTGAGGAGTGCGGCTTATTGTTCACAGACGAAAGTGGGTTAAAAACGCATCGCCACCGATGGACAAAAGTCTCCTGCCACCTCTGTGACAAGACCTTCTCTCAAATGAGTTTCCTTGATATCCATTTGCGTGAGCATCTTGAATTTACCGGGAAGTTACTTAACTGCAATTTGTGCGATAAAACTTTTCTACAGGTCGGTGCTCTGCAGACACATATGAGAACTCATCCACCAGTTATGCCGTACCATTGTTTAATGTGTGGACAGAAATTCTCGTTGGAGTCTCGGTTTTCAGCTCACGTAATGATGCACCGTGGTGAGAAGGATTGGCAGGATTACAAACGTGCTCATTGTATCAAGGAAACAGTCGTCTCTTTTTACCGTACTTGTACATTAGAAAGAATCGGTAAAAATATCTCTCTACGAAACGGGGAAGAGAAATTCCGTGTCAACCTCAATGTATAGATTTAGTCCTTAATCAATTGAAGTTAGTTTCAAATTCAGCCTCAGATCTGGATTCTAGTCTCATTGTGAATCAAGTGAAGTTAGTGTCAGATTCAGCGTCAGATCTGTATTCTAATCACATTGTGAATCAATTGAAGTTAGTCTCAGATTCAGCCTCAGATCTGGATTCTAGTCACATTGTGAATCAATGGAAGTTAGCCTCCGATTTGGATTCTATATGTACCGTAGTCTCTCATATATATATATATATACACATGTATGTGACCCCTAAAGGTCATGGGGGTATCAATGACAATTTCTGAAATATTTTTTTTCCTAAATGCAAGCAGTTCAGTGTCATTGAAGTTTAACAACAGTTGTAACATAACATAACATAACAAGATGTGTGACCTTCGCAGTCGTACATAAAAATCATTAACCTTTTCACCACTAGTTCCATCTTTTTATCACAAATTCACAAAATAGTCCTGTTTATATGTCTGCACTTTCCGTCAGAAGATTCGGACAAAAATATCCAAAATTTTTCAGTAAAAACTGAAATTGACTCAAATTTTGTCTGTTGGCTCCAAATTTAGGGTTGATTTTCAGAATTATTGGACAATAAGGAAAAAGTGCAGAAAGATTTGGGCAAAAAATTCTGGTACTGCAGCAAAGAATAAGTTGAAATTATTGACGGTGGTGATATTCACTTCAATTTTATGGTTAAGCCCACTGCATACCGCCCTCAACGACCTGATGCAAATGTAATATTGAGTTATGGCAATCACATGATTTTGCTACAATTACTACATGCATGTTGCGTCACATCGTAGAGGGCGGTGTGTCACAGGAGGCTTAAATTCACTGGGAATGTACTTTACCAGTTCCCACTTTTCATCACATTTATGTGGGAAATTTTGTGTCCAAATTTTTAGGTATTGTATGTTGACAAAATTTATAGATTATAACTGGTGTTTTAATAACATTATAACTTTTGAGAATAGGATGCTAGAATGTAGGCCTGGCTTAAGGTCAAAGGTCATTATTTATATTTGTACTTGATTTATATATGTAATGTAGAATATTTTCTCTTGGAATTTATTTTCGCTGAAGGGGTGATTCAGTGGAAATAAAATCTAGTGAATAAACCCTTTTTTCCATATTTTACATTCAACACGTCAAAAATCAGTGAATATAAATTCCATACAAAAAAACAAAAAGTCTTTTCAGTGAAAATTAATTCCAGCTAAAGTAAAATATTTTAGCCATTTGTTATATATCTATGTTGCATACCAATGATTTGCATATCCACAATTTGCATACCCACCATTTGCATATCCACAATTTGCATACCCATGATTTGCATACTCATGATTTGCATACCCATGATTTGCCTATCCATGATTTGCCTATCCGTGATTTGCAAACTCATGATTTGCATACCCATGATTTGCATACCCATGATTTGCATACCCATGATTTGCATACCCATGATTTGCATACCCATGATTTACATACCCATGATTTGTATACCCATGATTTGCATACCCATGATTTGCCTATCCATGATTTGCCTATCCATGATTTGCCTACCCATGATTTGCAAACTTATGATTTGCATACCAATGATTTGCAAACTCATGATTTGCATACCCATGATTGGCAAACTTATGATTTGCATACCCATGATTTGCAAACTTATGTTTTGCATACTCACGATTTGCCTATTCATGATTTGCCTATCCATGATTTGCATACTCGCGATTTGCATACCCATTATTTGCATACTCACAATTTGCCTGTCCATGATTTGCCTACCCATGATTTGCATACCCATGATTTGCCTATCCATGATTTGCCTATCCATGATTTGCCTATCCATGATTTGCCTATCCATGATTTGCATACCCATGATTTGCAAACTCAAGATTTGCCTATTCTTGATTTGCCTATCCATGATTAGCATACCCATGATTTGCCTATCCATGATTTGCCTATCCATGATTTGCCTATCCATGATTAGCATACCCATGATTTGCATACTCATGATTTGCCTATTCTTGATTTACCTATCCATGATTAGCATACCCATGATTTGCATACTCATGATTTGCCTATTCATGATTTGCCTATCCATGATTTGCATACCCATGATTTGCATACTCATGATTTGCCTATTCATGATTTGCCTATCCATGATTAGCATACCCATGATTTGCATACCCATGATTTGCCTATCCATGATTTGCCTATCCATGATTTGCCTATCCATGATTTGCCTATCCATGATTTGCATACCCATGATTTGCAAACTCAAGATTTGCATACCCATGATTTGCATACTCATGATTTGCATACCCATGATTTGCCTATCCATGATTTGCCTATCCATGATTTGCCTATCCATGATTTGCCTATCCATGATTTGCCTATCCATGATTTGCATACCCATGATTTGCAAACTCAAGATTTGCCTATTCATGATTTGCCTATCCATGATTTGCATACCCACCCATGATTTGCATACTCGCGATTTGTATACCCATGATTTGCATACTCATGATTTGCCTATCCATGATTTGCATATCCATGATTTGCATACCCATGATTTGCATATCTATGATTTGCATACTCACGATTTGCCTATCCATGATTTGCATACTCACGATTTGCCTATCCGTGATTTGCATACCCATGATTTACATACTCATGATTTGCCTATCCATGATTTGCATACCCATGATTTGCATACTCATGATTTGCATACCCATGATTTGCAAACTCATGATTTGCATACCCATGATTTGCAAACTCATGATTTGCATACCCATGATTTGCCTATCCATGATTTGCATTTGCAAACTCACGATTTGCATACTCATGATTTGCCTATTCATGATTTGCCTATTCATGATTTGCCTATCCATGATTAGCATACCCATGATTTGCATACCCATGATTTGCATACTCATGATTTGCCTATTCTTGATTTACCTATCCATGATTAGCATACCCATGATTTGCATACTCACGATTTGCCTATTCATGATTTGCCTATTCATGATTTGCCTATCCATGATTTGCATACCCACTCATGATTTGCATACTCGCGATTTGTATACCCATGATTTGCATACTCACGATTTGCCTATCCATGATTTTCATACCCATGATTTGCATACCTATGATTTGCATACTCACGATTTGCCTATCCATGATTTGCATACTCACGATTTGCCTATCCATGATTTGCATACCCACGATTTGCCTATCCATGATTTGCATACCCATGATTTGCATACTCATGATTTGCATACTCATGATTTGCATACCCATGATTTGCATACCCATGATTTGCCTATCCATGATTTGCATACCCATGATTTGTATACCCATGTTTTGCATACTCACGATTTGCATACCCACGATTTGCATGCCCATGAGTTGCATACCCACGATTTGCATATCCATGATTTGCATACTCATGATTTGCCTATCCATGATTTGCATAGCCATGATTTGCATGCCCATGATTTGCATACTCACGATTTGCATATCCATGATTTGCATACTTGCAATTTGCATATCTACAATTTGCATACCCACAATTTGCATATCCACAACAATTTGCATCAAATTACTTTGAAGCGTCGGTGTCATAGAACAAATTCAAATGTTCATTGGATACATTGCATAGAGGCACCAATCAAAAATGATGTGGAAAGCGTTGTCTTCTGTTTGTTTGTTTTAAATTAGGCTGTTTAGTTAATACTTTATTTTCACTTGGAATTAATTTTTGCTGAAGGAATGATTCAGTAAAAATAAGATCCAGCAAATTTTTTCCTATATTTTACATTCATCATTTTACTCATCAAAAATCAATGCAAATAAATTCCATAAAAAACACCCAAAAGTCTTTGCAGTGAAAATTAATTCCAGCTAAAATAAAGTATTTTACAGTAGTTATAATTGGTTCTTTTTAAAACAGTAGTGCTAGTTATTAGTGGATTAGTTTTGACAAAAATTGCTTCCAATTGGCTGGCCTGAATTGGGAGAGTTACACGCAACCAATAGTGATCACTGTCGTGTTTTTTTGAGAGCCTGTTGGTAAAGAGAAGCATTATGGGTAGGCAAAATGTATCACTTATTGTCACTGTTGATCTGTGAGTAGCCATTTTGAATATTGCTAAAGTTAGTTCATATTTGTACTTGTATTTGAAAAATAGCTGTAATTTTTCAGAATATATTTTATTGTTATTTATTGTACTGCTCATCTTAAAAGTATGTAACTGAAGTAAGTTAAACTGAAATGTGTGTCTCATTATTTCTCATTTTTTTATTGAGAAATGTTTTTTATTTCTACATAGCCATCAGAATTTTTTCATTTTGCCACCAATTGTACTTCTGGGCAATATAAGAATATTGACCTGAAAAAACTTGGGGGGTCATCAGCCTAATTTTCGAGAAAATGATGGTTGTATTTTAGTGGATAGTGACCATTTTGTCAGTATTATAATGCTTTTTACCATAGATTCCTATTGCACAGATATTATGCCATATCTCAAATATTAGGCTGAAAAAATTATATATTATGAATAATATGGTACTTTTTGTTGTCCATAATTGTTTCAAAATCTGGGTTTTAAAAACAGTCAAAAAATGTTACTTTTTTTTAACATTGTGTTCTGTGAAATTGTTCTAAAAATAGTCAATTTTGAAAAATATTAAGACAAATTTCCCAAAATATGTCACTGTAAACACAAAAGAATGCTATTTCATGATACCATGGAATAGCAGCTCTATAATTGTACATAATAAAACAATGAATATTATTATTATTATTATATTATTAAATTATGATTAGACTTCTTCTTTAAACTCCTCTTAATTGTTGAATAAACTGACTGAATAAATGAATACTGAACCATATGTTTCAGATTTTAATTTCTCATGATGGATCAATTTGCAAGAAATTCAGCCTTTGATCTATTTAAATAGGGGTTAAAATTTTATTATTTGTT